TAGTCCCCTGAACAGGGGACTAAGCGGGGACTAAGCTTTTTGTGGGGGGGGACTAAGGGGGACTTTGCAGGACTAGGGGAGACTAAGGGTTTTTAGTGAGACTACGTAGTATCAAGCGAGAAAAGTTTGATTCGGAAGAAATTGGTGTGGTTTTTTTGATTTTAGAATTCAGTTTGAAATAAAAAAGCCCATAGACTCGCTTGAAAATGGACTCATATTTCGCGATTTTAACCATTCTATTTCTACTTACGACCAAACTGAATATGATATTCGAAATCCGTATGAAGAACAAAGTCTTTCAATGTATTTTTTTTATTACGAAAAAATTCTACCAAAATTACATTTGTATTTTACTTCGTCATCTTTTTTCAGGTTACTTCGTTGATAATTTCTACGATAGACGATTTTTCAGAAAAAAGCTTTGTTTTTTTGCACAAAATGGTATTTTTTCCAACTGAATTTTCGATGTTGACTTCGAATATTATTTTCAGTTTGGTCATAAATAGAAATATAATGGTTAAAATCACACAATACGAGCTCATTGTCTACTATATTGTTGTTCATGATATAGAATTTTTTTTTAAATGAGTAACTTTTCAAAAGAGATGAGTTGGCTATCTAATCGATATTTTCTTTAATTTTATTGCATGATCAATAATACTAATGTTTTTGATTTACATTTAACATTAGAAAAATTTACTTTTTACATTAGAGTAACACTAATTAGTGTCACTCTAATGCGACTAACAAATAATTTAATGTAAACGGCACAAGAGAAAATCATTTTTAAGAAATTTTTCCATGATATTATATCTATAAATAGTTCACTGCATGACTATATTAGAAAAAAAACTAAATCTCACATATATATCAAATTGTATAAAGATTTAAGACAAAAATACTAATTTAATTTTGAATTTAATTATTTAATCAGTTAGTCGATAATGAACCGGTTTGTTTTCTATTATATAAACAAAACAGTAAAGATGTTCTCTACAAGCTGACAAATTTTTAGGATAAGAACGCTTCCCTTCTTAAACAATATATTATTTTGTTTCACTTCAAGTCAAGGATATAGTCGAGACTTTCTCAGCGACAATGAGAAGTAAATGAAAAAACGAACTGTATGAAAAGTAGTTTTCCTTTACTCTATGTTTCACATAATGCTTTAACGATGAAATTGCTAGTTTTGTCTGTTAGAACTATGCTCATTCATTTGACTATTTTTTAATTGTGAGCCTATATATATATATATATATATAATGTTGTGGTATCCATTGAGAAAAACTCAAATAAAAGGATTCGAACAAAAGAAAATTTTAGTAATAAAAAAAAAGCTTCGAACTTTTTTTAATATAAACATTCAATTCGAAGAAAATTTTTTCTTGTTATTTAAAACTTTCTTAGGCTGGAACAGAAATGTTGACGAACTGATCTACTTTTCACCTCATTGTTACATTCTTTATGTAATTATGTTTTCTAATTCTTCCATTCTTTCATTTCTGTGCTATTGTAATAGTTTTTATTAACTATCTCAGTCTTTACTAGGTGCGGCCTTTCTTCTTCGAGCCTATGCTATTTTACAATAGTAGTTCCATGAAAGTCACATGATGAACCAAAAATTTTATATACATTGAGGTATAATAGGGTTAGTTAACGTAAAACCATGATGGACCATTGAAGAACATATTCAACTGAACAATTGAGATTCAGCTTAGTTTTACACGTGTGATAGTGAGAAATTTTTTATGAATTTTAATGAAAACTGTTTCAAAAAATATAGTGCTGATTTTTTTCAAAATTCGTTTAGTTTATGTAGTGAAAATACAGGACCAATAAATAAAGTTAGTTTCGAACTAAATATCTAGAAAACGATTTAATTGATTAACATGGAACGTTTTTATGAATACATACACATATGCATGAGTTTTATGAACAATAGAATTCGCAGACCTATTGACTGAATCCTTTGTATTTTATGGATCGCGTTCATAGGCGCATAATTCTCTATTTTATGCTCTTTCGATATCCCATATATTGTGAATGACAAAGGTCTAAAAATTTTTCTATTAATATAATTCATGAAAATTCATGATTAGAATGAATTTTAAGCTTCATAGAGCAGTGTGTTGGCCTTGATGGTTATCAATAAAGTTGGTTTTCTGATGAAAATTCTAGTTCTTCATCAAAACATTTTGTTTTGAAATAGACTTAAAGAAGTGATTTTTGTTAGTTAATGTAACAAATGTTCAAGATCTACTTGAGTCATTTCATATCGCAAACTATTTGCAATTAAAAAATAGTCAAACGAAGAAAAAAAAAAGGGATCAAATCTTAAAACAGGTAATTTACTTTTTGGATATGATTGCAACATATGCAAATATTCACATTAAAAATGTAACCATTTTAGAAAGAAATTTATAAATGATAGACATTTGGAAAAAAATGCTTATTTTTTTTTCTAACTAATTTGTGTGTGATTAATTTTTTTACCTTTAAAACGAACAATATCAAGAGTATTTGTTGATTCTATTTCATCATTGATTAATTCATAATAAATATGTTCAACAAATTCAGTATGTAAAATAGTACGAAATAATTTAATAAAATCTTTTAATATTGGCCAATACGAAATATTTTTATTAATAATATCATCTTGTAATATTGTTGAAAATAGACATAAATCGTATGTTGTTATTGTTCTATGTGATATTATTATAATTAAAAATGTACCTATAAGTGAAAAATAGGACGATAAATCTAAATGACCATTATTGATTAGTTCGAATTTGTGAATAATATTATCTTCATCGATTAAACGTAAAAATATACATAAGTTAATATTATCTAATTTAGTATTTTCTTCAATAAAATGATAATGTTTATTAACGAAAATTGATAAAAAAATAAAGAAATATTTTTTTAATAGATTATTATCATCATAATATAAATCATATATTACGTGTTTATACATCAATGGTGGACAATCATTTGAAATAACTTTCAATTTTTCTTCGATATTTGATACATTTACAATACCATCCGCTACTTGTAGGAATAATTTGATGATATCATGAAGTTTTTCCCATGTAAGATTTAATACGTATTTATCAATATCGGGTATATCGTTGACACGAATTTGTACAGCTTTTTTAGTACGATCTCGATCAACATCATCTTCATCAAATAATGTTGATTTATTTCGCTTTTCAGATGATGTCAATGTTTAATGAGAAAAATAATTCTCGAATTTTATTATACTGTGTTGTTGTCTGACGAAAACAACAGCGATTATAATCACCAATGGGTTACGTGATGTACTACCAATGGCGACGCCTGGTTCACATGCTCACATCAGCAAAACAAATTACGATTGAAATGCTTGAGATAATCTACATAGGTTGAAGAAAGTGAGCCAAACACGTAAACTTATCAACCGTGATATATTACATTGAATAACACAGAATTATTTTGTACCATTTGTGATATAACTTTAAAAAATAACCGTATATATATGAGTGAATTGCAAAATTATTGTACCGTTGTATTCCCTTGATGTAAAAGTTTAATAACTCCAGTTCCTCTCAAGCTATCTTTATGAATTTTTCAGGTTAGACGTCTCTAGTTAGTGCTCACTATCACACAAAAAATCACAAATTTATCTCGCA